CCCCGCACATACATCTGCCTCCCCCCCCCCCATCCCCCGCCTTCCCCCGGGCTCCCGCCACACGCCCATCGTATGCAAAACCACCCTACGCTTTGTGCCGGGCTGCCGGACCTCGTCGAGAGAGAAGTCGATCCAAAGGCTCCGAGCCTGCCCGACTACCTGTCCGTCGCCGCCATCCCTCCCCACCCCAAGTCCGGTCCTATCTCCCATTACCGAGCGGGGCTTCCCTGATGGGGGGGCGAAGCAGCCCCAATCACTGGATCTCCCCCCCACCTCGCCTGCCACGCTCCTCCTCCGCCTCCCCCTCTCCCAGCTCCACACGCCGGCCTCGCCGCTTCATCCCCGGCCCAAACGTCCCCTGCATGTGGTTCTCATTACGGGCTCTCCCTGCCGCACTCCAGCCACCTTCCCCGGCAGCCGCTGCCTTCCACTCGCGGCCAACTTTGGACCCGCTTCGCCTCTCCTTTCAAGCTCCTGTAGTTCACCCCTCACTCTTTCCCCGCCATCCCCGGTTCTCTTCCCCCCCTCTCGGCCGGCTCCTCGGCCTTCTTCCTCCTGGCTCCCTCCCGGCTGCCTACAAATTCTCCTCAAACTTTCTCTCGCTCGGCACCCGGCATACACACCTCTTTCGCTTCGTTCTCCCCCCCACCATCACCACCAGCAGCACACATACACGTCCCCCCTTAGCCTGCCAGGCATCCCCGCCGCGGCCAGATTCTCTTTCCTTCTCCCCTAACTCTCCAAGACCCCTACTTTCTCCCACCCACCGACACCCCTGAAATCCTCCCCATCCAAGTTTCGCGCAAAGCGCCCAAATCGCATCCAGGTTCGAGCCCCCCCCCCTTTCGCTTCTCCCCACATACGTTCCGCTTTCCGAGTCGGTTCCTCGCGAGGCACAACTTACGCGTGATAATTTCCCTTTGTGATAAGTGCTGCGGGTTCCCCTGCTTGCGACGGGACATTGCCCTGGCATTTACACGGTCATCGCCCGGAGAGCTGGACTTAGGTAAGGGGGAGCGGAGGAGGGGGGGAGCGGTCGTCTTCCTCCTCCTCTTCTTCTTCTATGCTCTTCTTGACGGATTTCTTCTTTTAAAAAGAAAATAAAGAACTCGAAAGAGAGAAGCACTTTTCCCCCCTTGACGTTCTCAGGATGAGGTTCTTCGTCCAATTAAACAAACATCATACATGAAGTGGGGGAGGCTTGGCTTTTATTTTCATAAGACAACTGTCTTTTGGGTTGTTTGGTTTTTGTTTTCCTTTTCCACAGCTTCCAGATCTTTTCTTGAACTTCACCAAGCGCTGACATTTATTTTTCCAGAGTGGTTAGAAGAAAAAGAAGGGGGGGAAAAAGCAAAGTGCACTTCTTCCATCAGGAGGGTTTTCTTTAAAAAAGGAAAAAAGAAATGAAAATTGAATTATATTCATACACGCTCGCACAAAAGTAGAAAAATTGGTATTTGCCCACACGCAGAGAAAAATGCAACAAAAATACCCTTGCTGAGTTAGAATTCTTTTTTGCTTTGCTTTTTTTAAAGGGATAGCCCAAACTGTGTCTCCTCTTTGCCAGTTCAAGTGCTACTGTTTGAGGTTGGTTTTTTTTTTTTGCTTTTTTTTTTTTTTTTGCTTTGCTTGCACCCCTTTTACCAGTGCTTTTTCCCCCTCCCCTCGCTTGGCACAAGGTCTTGATAGGAAGGAAGCCCCCCAGTGCTTCTGGGTGAGTGCTGGCTATTACTAGGAGATATATTGCAATGTGAAGATGGCGGAGTCCTGGTTCCCTGGGAGCGCTCAATCTCTCTATGGCTGGGTCTGCCTCCGTACAATGGGATAAAATTCAAGTTCAAGTGCGGACGTGACGTTTAATCTGCACTAGAGACAAAAAAGACCTAGAGAGTAGGAGCACTGGGGGCGACTAGCGGTGGCTTTTTAACATTGTACCCTGCAAGAGAACAAGAAGGGGGGGAAACCACCCTCAAACACACTCCCAGCACACGCGCGGCTCCCATTGCTTAGCCAAGGTTGCCTTCTGCAGAGCCACAGCCAAAACGAGATTCAGGGGGGAAATAAAAAAGAGGGGAGTAAAATCCAGTAGACGGGAGATGTCTTTTTCCCCAGAAAACGTCCCCGCTCCAGTTACGAAAAAGAAGCCGCAGAGGTCTTGCAGGTCTTAGGAAGAGGGAGGAGGTGACAAGGACCCGGGCCATCCTCGTTGCTGCCGCCGCCGCCGCCCGCTGGCAGGAGGCCCAAATGGGACGGCCGTCTCCCGGGGGAAGCAGGGTGTAGGTAAAGGGGTTAGTCGAGCCAAGCAGGCTGGCTCCGGAAAAGCAAAGGGGAAGGAAAGAGTTGGAGGTGGCTACGATCGGCTCAACCCGGAGAAGCAGCCGGAATGAGGCTTGCAGCGAGCGCCCGAGGTCCGCGGGATCCATCCTGTCCTTTGCTCGATCCACCTGCTCGGAGAGCTTCCAGGCGGCTGGATCTTGGCCTCAGAGAGATTCATTCACTTCCCCCTTTTCAACTACACGCTCCCTCGCTCTCTTCCCTGCACGCAGACTGGCGGCAGCGGCGGCAGTAGCAGCAGCCCGACTCTGCTCAGAACACCTTCGCTGTGTTATTTCCAACAGTTTTTACAATAACACAAATATCTGCGTGGGGAAAGAGATATTTCTCTCCCACCCCCTTTCTCAATGTGAATCGCGATTGCGGAGGGAGACACGCACACGCACGCCCTGCTCTCACTTTCTCCCAGGCGCCTCACCACTTTGCGCGAAGAAGGATCCCTGTAGACTCCCGGGGCTCTGCCAGTCCAGACTGGAAGTGGCGTTGACCTAAGCAAGCGGGCTAAACAAGCCAGGTTAAAGCCAAAGGGAGACTCCCTCCCGAACCCGACTTCTGGCGCTTCCACAGCCAGAGCTGGGTAGTTTCTTGGCAGCGGGACAGACGCGCCTTGCCATAGCCTTCAACTTCCTCGTCTAGCCTGCAGGCCCGGGATTCTACCTTAACCTTCAGTGCAGACGGTCGCTCAGGCTAATGGGTGTCTTCCAGAGCGCGCCCCCTCCCCTTAATGGAAACATTCCAGCTTTGATCAAGGAGCCGGCATTCACCAGGTGTCTGCAAATAAAGCAGTTTTCAAAGATTCCTGCTATTCAGACGTTCGGAGATAAAGGTACCAGGGCTGCCTGGTCAAAATGATTGCTTCCTTTCCACAGCATGGGAGTGAACTTTGGGGGGGGGATGATAGGGCACATGGCTTCTTGATTCCCCGAGGGCGTTATGCCTCCCTCTCAGCCGAGCCCCCCATTCTGGGCAGGATTGACAAGCCAGCTGCTGTCATCAAATGCAGCCAAGCACAAATGCCAGTAAGTATATTCAGAGTAAGACCTGTATATCCGAAGCTCCATTCTGGCGCTATGCCCCCCCTCCCCAGTTTCCCCTCAGTGTCAAAAGTGACCGAAACTCCACTTGTTACAGTTCGTGTTTTCCCTTGAATTATGAAGCGGGAGTTAAGGTACCTATGACTTGACTGCAGCCCAGCTCGCAATTTTGCCCACGTTCTTGGGTTAGTCCAGAGTGACTCACCCGTTAGCCTGAATAATCGAGAAGTCACTAAGTAAATATAATTGACTGCTAGATGCAGCCTTTCAATCCTGATTAAACAAGACATAACAGCAGTCACCCCTGGAGCAAATATGGCCAACTCTCCCATAAGGTTTCATGGGACTGTTACTCAGTGGCCTACTGCTCAACAGGAAAGCCCCTGGGGGGGCGCGGAAGTGTCGCGAAGTGCAGCCCGTGCAAGGGATCCAGCCATCTCCGAGCTCGCGCGATTTCATTGGCTCCTCTAAAAAAAATGCAGCCCACCCGCCCGGGTCCTGCCACTCAGCACGCCTTGCGAGCGTCTTCATGGAGCTAAGCTGCTGCCGTTCAAGGCGCTTGAAAACAGGCCAAGATCGCTGCGAGAAGTGGTGACTAACTGCGCTCACGGAAGTTGTGGATGGCGGGCTGAAGCAACGAAACCCTTGAACTCGCTCTAGAAGACGGCATAAAGGGGTTAACGCGCCATATACCAAAAAGGCAGCAGTGGAATCTATTTTTTCCTCAGGTGATCTTACCTGACACTTTTGACTGTTACCACCACCATCCCCCGCTCCCTCCCAAACAACTAAGAACAAACAAGGCTTCTTTCTTTCGCCCTCACCTGGGAAGTTATTTCCTCTTGGCTAAATTCAGCACTAAGATTTAAGCCAACTTGTGGTGGACTCCAGCCTGAGTTTGATCTGGGACAGCTGAAGCGAAAAATGATGTTTTTTTCTAATTTAGAGCTACTGTTGGAAGAGAAATTATCCCTTCCAGGCAGTTTTAAGATTCCGCACTCCACCCATTCACCAGTATGGGTGAGAACGCTGGGAAGACGGCCATTAGCTACGCGCACGTGGATCAGCCTTAACAGACAGCGGGGGGGAGGGGGGGAGAGAGATCCGATTGAACTTCATTCACATGTTGGGCAGATTCAGTACCGCTTCGAGTTGTGGTTCATAACTCCATAGCCACTAGTTAAATCATGAAGCTGGGCTCACTCTAAACCACAACTAAGTACGGATTAAAAGAACGTGTGAATCAAGCTATTTAGTTAATAAGCTAAGGGAACACAACCACCCCATGCTGATAACTCTCCTGCATTTCCGAGATAGATTTAAGCATATCCAAAGGTTATAGGAGCTAGCCTGCCTGCCTGCCTGCCTGCCTTCCTTCCTTCCTTCCTTCCTTCCTTCCTTCCTTCCTTCCTTCCTTCTTTCTTTGTCCTATTCAATTCAACTTATTCCTGAACAGAACGCAGGTATACATTTCTATAGTTAATTTTTCCACTGCAGGCCGTGGAATTTGAAACGTTCTTGCCCCAGCAATGTTTATTCGGGTAACGCTGAATAGGACTGAGGTATCTATTTAGCTTCCCTAACTCCGGTTTTTGTTGGTCGTAAGCAGGCGTTTCTGCTTCCCCTTATATGTGTTGCCTGACTTATCTACCCACCCGTTTAACTTTCTCTGAAATCTGACGTCCAAACACAACTTCTCCAGATTCCGCTCTCCTCGCCCGATCTTTAACTTAAGCTCCCACCACCACCACTATCACTGCTCCTTTTAATAGTGCCACGGATGGCGATGTCAGTCCCTCAGACTTCTTCCCAACCGGTTTCTTCACGGGCAGCCATCCCCGGTGCAAGAGGCGGGGGGAGGGGGTGCCCCGGCGCTTAAGTCGACCTGGCTGGCGCTCGGCCAACCTTCCTCGGCCTACCGCTCAACGGTTTTGCGAGCAGGGCCAGCTACTGCACGCCCGCCTCTTCCAATCCGCGCCCTCTCGCTCCTTTGCAGCTTTTACTCGGGCTTGATCCGAGTAAATCCCTGCTGGATGTGGGGCTGAAGGAGTTGAAGAGCCTGAAGGCTTTTGAAGGATCAGCAGTGATTCTTATTGCTCCCCCCCCCGCCAAATGCATAATAAATAAAAAAATAGATGTCCTCCCTCCCATTGATTCCTGTTCACCAAGAAGGTTTAAAAAGCGCCAGTCCCATTTGGCGCCAGATTTCGGGGTGGGGAGACTCAAGGTAGTTTCCCAGCACTTAATCTAAGGAGTGGGGGGGAACTGTGACAGAAAACGCGGCGAAACTCAGGAAATAAAATCCCTAGGAAGCCACTTGTCTATGAAGTTCCACTCGTGAATAATTTTCTTGGGCAGACTTTCCATCAAAACTTCGCCGAGGATTTTATTTCTTTAATTGATAAAACATATTTTCCCGCGACTGTGTGTCTACCTTTCTTCTTGAGCTGAGATATTCGTGATAAGCCGAATGCATCTCTTAAGAGTGAACATCCTATTTGTTTATATTTACTTACTTATTTTAACACTTACTTGTTTTAAGTGTTTACATACTAAATTTCACCTACTCCGTAAAATTCACTTTTGCACTTTCTGCTGAATATATATGCATAGGATCCGGTCATAAACTTCTTAGGGTCAGATTAAAATAATCCTTTCTTCCCCTGTTCTACTTGGGATCAGCTCGACAAAAAGAGAAATACTCTTCCTCACCAACCTTTCAGTGCATTAATGGGTCTTATGTGGCCACCACCGTGCCTAAACTAGACTCCTACACGTTTCCTTCCGAATCTCCCCTTCTTTAAACTTGGGGCGTAATGTCTGAGAAGTGATGTTCTCGGGCTTCTCAAGGTTCTAATTACTCATAGTTATAGAAACGTGAAGTTAAAAATACTCTTATGATGTATCGCCATCCCCATAAAACGCAGCGAATAAAGAAGCGGATTTGGAGCTCAGCTTGGAATAAGCGGCGTTTATAAAGAGAAAGAATTGTCACAATTAACTAATATGAAAGGCGATTCCAAATTCTGAGGCAAGGGTAGGAACTCTTCGTGCGGGGCTAAGATGGGTGTGGTCCAGCGAATGCGTCCCATGGGCTAAACTTGAGAAGTACATTAAATCTTTTCCCTATTTTTTTTCCCGATCATATAACTAAAAAGGTGGCGATCGAAGTCCACCTTGAATGTTTTTGGCTAGCCCTACCAGGAAATTTCAAAGGAAAAGACAGTGGGGGGGACATGTTTGGCGTGGCTCATCAGAGAATAACTTGGCCATCCCTCTC